AGATGTCGGTTCAATCAATTCTTTACGGACATTTTTTTATGTGAAAGGTTGGTTAGCGAGCAAGCACCTGATATTAAGTGTTTATCCGCCAATGAGCATCAGTAGCCCCAGTGGTGGCAGATACAATACCAAACTTTAAAAACAGTGTGCCGCGGTGTCCTCACTCACAGACGTAACGCAAAAGTGCATTAACCTCACGTTCATACGAAACCTCGATAGTTAAAATCGAAATTGAAGGCGAAAACTCTATAAATTAGTTTTATTTAACATACTAGCTTGTTAACATTCGTATTCTTATTAAGATGTGCATTTTTATTGTACTTATTTTTGTTTTTAGATTCGTGATGAAATAAATTTTTCATATTCCCTTTCTTCTACGGATACAAGAACTATACACTTCTATTAACTTTTTTATAAGAAAAATTAGCAACCAACCACACCAGGTGCCTGCGTTCTCTCATAAAAATTATCTATTATCTCTCTTAAAAAAGTGTACGCGCGTATCGTAAAAATTTTACTCTACCATTCCAAACGCTCCAAAAGAAGTACCTATAACTTCAAAAACTCTACTACTAAATAGGAATGGTAAAGCACTATGAATTGTTTTTTTTTTATTATTATTGTTTTTTTGTATTCATGGTTATATTTTCTTTTCTTTTAAGCGGTGTAAAGTTGTTGATTGCTATTTATTACTTGTTGAGAAGTTTTTTCTGTAATAGATATAAGATAGGTCTGAGCACTAGAGGTCAGAGATGCAAGTCCGTATTTGTTAATTTTAACTTTTCGTTAATTTTAAACAAAATAAATACACGGTCATTTAACGTTGCCTGCAGCTCTCGTTAAATCCACGGGCAATTTAATTAAAATCAACACATTTTATGAAAGTGAACGCCGTCGTTTCTCATCGACCGTCATAATTGCGTTGCAGGTAACAAGGTTTAATTAATCGAATTATATCTTGTCTATGCACTCATTTTAATTTTAACATTTTTAAAATTTACATAATATAAGTTATGCTATACTATCTTAAAATACTTATAACTTAAAATAATACAATTATTATCGATTTTCTGTTTATCGGAGCCGTTATAGCTTAGTGTCCGGGCGCTCGCTCGCCTTTAATTCAATTTACTCGAGCAACCTGAGTTCGATCACCGGTGCCAGCACCAATGAAATTGTTAATTTTAAGTGCTGACTTATCACGTTCTCGGCGGTGAAGGAAAACATCGTGATGAAACCTGCATATTTTCGAAGTAATAACAAAAAAAAATATTTCGAAAATATGTGAAGTCCACCAATCCGCAGTGGGGCCGCGTGGTGGACTATGCCCTGATACCCTCTTTACAGAGGAGGCCTTTGCCCAGCAGTGGGACATTTGTAGGCTGTTACTTTACTTTTTTTTCTATTAATCACAATCATAAAACTAATGTCGCATAACTGTTGATATAAATAAGTTTCGTCAATAAGAAAACTATATATGTTATGATTTATAACTAGAACTAATTCAACGAAAGTTTTACCCAACAGAAACATTTTTAAGTAAAATAAAAATAAACGCACTTAGGTACGATATTGATGAATGTTTTCCTTATCTTAATATCGTCCTTAGTCTTGTTAGAAAAACTAGAAAACGAAAAACGTTAAATTAAATCCGAATGTCTTTTTTATACAAAATATTTATACTTTATATATATAATTCTTCTGTACCTGTGTATGTCACTGAACTCATCCTAAACGGCTGGACCGATTTTAATGAAATATTTTGTGTGTCTTCAGGTCGATTCGAGAATGGTTTATATTCACAATTCGTTTTTTTTATAAGTTTATAAGTTGTTAATTTATAAGTTGTTGTCGGATTTAAGTCGCGTGTAGGACGTCTGTCGGGTCCGCTAGTAGTTATATAAAATCATTCATTGGGTGACTTCTGTGAATCATTGTGCACGAAGATAGAATACTTTCTTATAATTTCACAGACCACGCGTTATTAAATATTTTTACGTAAAATACGTCAAAATTGTTTGGTGGTTATTTTAAACTAAAATTCTCGTCGTTCCGAATACTTTGCATCATTCATGTTAACATTATATTCCCTTAAAGATTTAATTACTGCATGCTATAAGCACAATTAAAATATGTTCCACGAAAGCGTATCATTGCAATACATTGCGTGTCAAATACTTCAAAACACTTGTTGTCCATAATATCAAAATATTGATCGAGAAACTTCCACTGTCTTTCATATCACAAATGTTTTAAGCAATATTAGTTTAGAGTAAGGGAAAAAAACTCGTCGCGCGTTACAATTGTGTGTTGAGAATTACGACATTAATGAAAATTTGCATTTAGAATACTGCTAAATATCAAACAAACAAATTCGGGCGGCTTGCGATCTTAGGGGTGTGATAAAACAGGCATAATAGACATAAGTCGGTGAAACGCTAAGATTTCTTAGACTTTTTTATTGCGTCTATAATGAAAAATGCTTCTATAATATTAACTATTCACGGTTTTATTCCTAAAAACTGATTTGTCGTGAATGTTTCTTTTATTTTATATGTTTTTTATTTTTTGTCTATATTCTATTTTCTATTTAATGATTCTCAGAACTCATTCTCGCTATATATAATATTTCATACGTGCGAAACCAAAACTTGTAACTTGTGTTCAAATCTAGATACATTCGCAATGCTCGAGTGCATCTAGATTTGAAGCATGAGCAATAAATTGAACGCTACAAATTGAAAAATTCCTTGTAACCACAATGTAAACTAAAATAAGCCATCGATCATAATGTAAATTATTATTATCCCGCATCAGGCACTAAATATTAAAATGAAACGAGAAACTTATCGGCAGTCTTTATTGTTATTTTAAGTAGATACCTTAACAAACAATATACAGCATTTAAATCAACATTTGTATACGTATGGCGTGGAAATATTTAGGAATGACAACGCTCTAAGGAATCCGAAGATCGTATAAAATGGCCCTAACATCACATTTATTCATATCTTAATAATAAACGTAGAATTTTAATCGGTGAGTTACGAGAGAAAGCCTCTTAACACAATAAACAAAACAACATACTCTTATTACATTCCATAAAGGCACAATATTAAATGTCACTTTATATTACATTCAAGGCACTGAGTGTCACATATTATATTCAATAACAATTATATTTCAAAAAAAATATTTTTTCAATCTACTAAAAATATATTTGAATCGACGTAACCTAGTGTTACACGAAATACTGAAAGAACACAATAGATAATTTTAGATTAATGGCGTATTAATACCCTGATAAGGTGTTTATAGTCTATCTAATGTTACTCTCAACTCTAATATAGTATGGAAGGGATTACAAACAAGATGTAAAATATAATCATTACTTATCAGAACGGATTTAAAAATCATCATACATCCAGTTATTACACGAAAATGTTTAAAAAAGTCAAAAATACATGAAGAAGAATTAGAAGAATGTCAACATTTTTATAAAAATTATTCGAAAAAGAAGCTGATTGAGTGTGTACGGAAAAGTTGAATAACTGAGAGAGTAATAAAAATGCATCCATGGTTTAACACTATACCTGGTCAGACAATAGTAAATGTGTCTGTCGTTATAATTAAAATGCAACAAAATAATTCATCATTTAAAAAATATCGTTAAATAAAAGCAAAACATTCAAAGTAAAGCCAGCTTTGTAATGTCATAGTTCAGAAAACATAAAAAAAATTATTAAAGCACGTCAAGTAGGTATGTCTTTCGTCGAAAAGATTCTTCATCTGTTTTGATTGCGTACAGACAAAAAAAAACATAATAAACGAAATGCAAAATAATAAAAATAGTATGAATGGTTTCTAAAGCAAAATAAGTTTAATTAAGCTTCATTGAAAGTTGCCTATAAAAACGAATTTACCTAGGTTTTCGTTTTTGTCCAAGATTGTGAAATTAAAAATCGATTTAAAAATTGTTAAAAAATATATATACTGGATTAACATATACTGGATATAAGGATTTTCATTTCATTAATAAATTTGAACATATTACAAAACCAAAACAACTTGGCAATGTCTCAATTTCATAGTACCAAAAGATAAACACATACATCACAACATCAAAAATCATTTAAGACACAAGCAAATAAAAAAATATAAAAGAAACATAAAATACTCGCACATATAACGATATAGACTCAACATGAGCCAGTATATACGTTGAAAATTTTCCAACAGTCCTAACTTTATATAAAAAAATAGTATAATTTCATTTATTCGTAGTCATAAAAATCTGGTCATTTTATATGCACTTCTGTAGGCGCCGTCCTATTAGTATCGCATAAAAATACAGTAAAAAGTATTCCATCAAAAATTATGCACAAAATTTATTATTTACATGGCACTCGTCGCTTTGAACGCTCGATTGAACGTTCGTTTACCGAGTATAAAACATTAAATACAAATTATATTAAAATCTTAGTTACGATGGCACTGGACGAATTAACACTAACTTCTAATCCGCTAAGTCAATCGATCACATACTCTCATAATACTATGCCACGAAATGTCACACCACAGGATAAAAAGTCAACCCGATCTGTAGAATAAATACACTGTCGTGCGGCAATAATTCCGGTACTTATCACGCAAATAGTATAAAACGATGTTCTCTTCAAATTATTTTTTTAAATCTTCTTAATATTTTTTAAAAGTGCAAGGTATTTCAGGAATTAAGCGCTTACCACCCGACAGTAAGACAGCAGTCATAGTGAAATCTCATTCTGTCGGGTCATTCGACAGAGAAAACATTCGTTCACTTAGTGGATAGTGATGTAACAATTGTAAGCAAATTCATTCGCCCCGAACCGCCACGGTATAGGTGCAGTTAAGAAGCGTGAATGTGAATGAATGACGGAGAACGAATGTCGCCGTTCAATAGAACTTGTCCTGGAAGCGTGAATGTCAATCGAATGACGGCGAACGAATGACACCGTTCAATAGAACTTGTCCTCTTCTATGTCCAGGTTGGCCTTGTTGTTGGGCTGGTTGGAGTGTCGCCGCAGCGTGCCCATAGAGTCGTATTCGTTGGCGATCGCTTTGGGGTAGAGCTTCGGCGTGGCGACGGCTGTATTGTGGTTGTTCGGGTTTGATATGTTGTTGCTCTTCGAGAGCAGGATGCCGCCGGAGCCGCCGATGCCGCTGAACGACGGCTGCCTTTTCGCTTTACGCGGCTACAATTTAAAAATGAAAACAGTATTATAAAAAAAACTCTTTTATTAATGTCCTTTCTCGCATTACGCGGTTAGAAAAAAAAATGAAAACCGCAATTCTAAAAAATCTAGCCTCTGTTACAGATGTCTGTGCACCCCGTTTCGACGAGACTTGATCAAAAATTTTAAATTAGGTTGGCATATTGCATAAAAGCAACAAAATATAAAATTGTGACTATTTTAAAACATAAATATGAATTAATACAATTTAGTCAAAAAATACAAATATAACCATTATAGTAAATAAAAATATAATTTATTTATACTTAAATTATAAATATAATAATACACTTAATTGCAGACACATACCTACAAAATATTTTAATTATAGCAGTTTAGTTGCAATAATAAAGCACACAAAAAAATGCTGCTAAAATTTTATAAACAAAAACTATGTTCATAATATGAACAGTGACGCAAAGATTAAAAAGGAGACATTCATACATTAAATTATACAAGCAATACTCACAACTTCCTTGAGTGGAACGGTGACGTAGCTGTTTTGCTTGGCGGTGATGTAGTGTGGGCTGGAGGGAACGCGGGGCTGCTTGCGCCACGGCAGCCCAGCCCCGCGCCGCTGGCAGTATATCACACCGGCCAGGCACACCAGGCAACCTTTACGAAAAACCCACTGTTACAGATTATCAAATTAAAAAAACTACATAAACTATCAAATAAAGAAAATGTGCAATAATTATCAAGGTAAAATTTTATAAAAATCACACAAATTAAAATCTAAAAACCACATTATATTTTTTTATTTATTAAAATATTCTAGTTATTTAGTTAGTTTATAATGACAATGAGAAAAAAATATTTTTTTTAATTTAAAAAATGTTAATATCACATTTTATCATCTTAATAATAAATTTGTCTAATGGCACATTTATAAATCAAAATATAAGTACAAAATATTTTACTCTAAGTCTATAAATTTGTTATCAATTAACAAAAAAATCCATTTGTAAAAAATAATTTTTACAAACAATATATAACATTGTCAAAAAAAATTGGTCAAGTTGTGCCTTAACCGTTTTATGTGTTCCATCCTTGTCAAGGGGAGTGCTAACCGTCTCTCCTTTCAATAGACACAGTTCGTTGTATTCGATGCGGGGCATATATACCAACGATTACGAAAACTTCGATAGCGTGTTTTAGAACTTTACTTGAGAACGAAGTTACTTTTGAAATTTTCATACAAAATATTTAACTAACTAAAAGAAAACAATATTTCGTCAATTTAAATACGTAAATTTGTAAAAATGTGTTTCAATTTTATTAAATATTCAAATAAAAAGTTATCAGAAAACAGAAAAATTATAACAGCGCCATCTATCGGCGTAGATATTAACTAAGAAATAAATGTAAGTGCTTTTTTTTTTTTTTTAATCGCATTTGGGACAGAAAAGATAGCAGAAAGTAGCAAATAAAGCATAATAGTAACTCTTATAATATAATATAAATGCAGTTTGCTTGAATTTAATTTACAAAAAATTGTCTATGTCACTAACAACTGCGAAAGAAATGCTAGGAATGTAACAAAATTCTAATAGTTTTTTTATGTATTATTATGAAAATGTATAATAAAAATATAATAAGGAAATAAATTTTATATAAATAATATATATGAAAATAAATTTTAAATAATTTTTTTTTTTGTTTTAACATTTTTTCGGTTGCAGGTTTGAATGCTGACGGCGGCGAAAAATTTTGTGACAGTTTTATTCACACATTTTTAAATTCCATCAAGTGCGGACCTTAACTAGCACTAAAAGTTAAAATTTAAATAAATTTTTGGTTTCAAGGAAATGTTTAAAGGCAAAACTCACCCATAACGAATGCGGCCACCACGCAGCCCACAATAGCACCGACGCTAAGCGATTCATTGCCCGACATAGTAACGAAGGAGGCCATCTCCACGTTCTGACTGTATGCGGGCATTGCATACAGCTCTGTAAAGTAAAACTTGTGAGGCTCCAAACACATTATTTACACAATTAAAAGATTTCCGTTTTAATTATATCTTATTTATTTTAAAATACATCTATTGGAATTAAAATATTCTCAACTATTCGACTATATAAACCAGATAAAATTACAGAAATATGTTTTCTAATGTTTTCGTGTCTTATACCTACAATTAACTGTCCTAGTTGCAATTTTTTTTAATTAAAGCCAAAACATTTCGTGGGATACAGATATTTTGCATATCAATTCTCAAATTAATTTTGTAAGTAATTATTTTTATCTGATTCAATTTATTTTTCGTACTCTTGGCTTTAAATATGTTGTTTCCTCATACAATAACATGTACTACGCAGATTACCTAATGGTGTAATTAGACAGGGTTATTTAAACTAAAATTAAGAATTCATAAGTGATTTTCGACAAGTTTAACAAGAATTATGAGCGTTGAATGATCTGCATATAATATAAAGTAAATTGAAACCTAACAGTTATTATGTGTGGTGCACATGGAAAATATTGCATGGCAATAATAATAACAATTAAATGCATGGCAATAATAATAGTAAAATTTGCATTTTAATGTAGTTTCAAATTTTAATTAAATAAAATTGATGATTAAACTGATTTTCTGTAACTCTGTTTATTTTAAGTTGATTTTCGAAAATATTATTTTTTAATAATAATAGATTATATATATAACGCACGGGTAGTAAAGCTCATGCACCTACAATTCATTTTTATTACAACGAATTGCAAGTCTTGCGTTTTTTGTAATTGTGTGCTTTAGTTACAATATTTATTAGTTATTTAGATAAAATTATATACATATAATGTGGTAAAACGATATTTGCAATTGGTCGTGTGCAAGGCATAGCATAAAATGCGAAAATGCAAAGCCTCTTCATTATAGATAGCCCAAATTCCCAAAATCGTGTAGATTATTGATAGGCCAAATTTCAAAAGGTTGTCAACGCATCTGGAACCCTCGGGTGTAGCAGATGTCCATGGGCGGCGGTATTCACTTAACAACAGGTGAGCACTCTGCTCGCTTGGCAACGTTTCACATAAAAAAAAAAGATGAAAATCTTCGCCGGTCTGGCAATCGCCCGGTGTAGCTAAAGCGTCTGGTCGCGCATCCGGAAAACGTGAGTTCGATTCGCATTGGCGAAAAACTCGCACACATTTCCCTGCAAATTGAGCGCGTACCGTTGTCGAGGTCGGCGTCGCCGCAGCGCGCCACCTGCAGCTGCGCGCCGACGCACGCGCCCGCCTCGCAGCTGCGCCGCCGCACGCGCTCGCCCCCCGAGCACTCCGACCACGCGCCCCACGCGCCCCAGCCGCTCTCCGACTCTGCGGCACGCGGTAGACATTACTGCAGTGTAAGTGCATTACTGCAGTGCAGTGTAAGTCTAATACGGCGGGTGGATGTTGGCGATGCAACAATAATCGGTCGGTATCATTTAATACGATATGGTGACACTCCGACCACGCGCCCCACGCGCCCCAGCCGCGCTCCGACTCTGCGGCACGCGGTAGACATTACTGCAGTGTCCAATGCGGCGGGTGGATGATGGCGACGCGACGCCAATAATAATTATAAATAAAAATAATAAAATATCTTTATTCGCATAGACGCTTGCGCGTTCTTATGAAACGTCAAAATTTTACAATGAAATCAATACGTTCGTAAGTTACCACAGGTTACAATCGATCGCAATTATCTAATACGATATGGTGACTCTGCGACAGGCGGGTTACGTTGATGTGGCGATTCAGTTTTGGTGACGCGGCACCAATAGGTCGCAATCATCTAATACGGTGTTTTGACACTCCGACGACGCCCCCAACGCCCCAGCCGCTCTCCGACCCTGCGGCGCCCAACTGTTTAAAGGTTGGCAACGTAACTTCAACACCTCAGTTGTTGGCAGGTAGATGGGCGGCGGTAATCATTTAACAACAGGTGAAACCTGCTCGCTTGCCAACTTTTCATATAAAAAACCGTAGACCCTCTGCGAACTTTACCTGGGCAAGTATTAACGCATACGCGTCGCTCCAAAGCAGCCCCCGCGTCCGCGCAGCCCTCGGCCGACAGGCACATCCTGGAACGGGTTCGATGCCCAGTGGCCCCCGTGGAGCAATCGCCGCTACAGGCGCTCCACTCGCTCCAGCACGACCATTCGCCTGCAAGTTCTTTATACGTGAGAAAATAATAATAATGCAACACACTCCTGAATAAAGGTGCGATTTTTAAACATCACTTTTGATTGTATGTTTTCATATTGACTTCTTGTTTTTACGCAAATATTATGGTATTAAACCATATTAAACTAATCAGACAGACGTACCTCTCTCCCGTGACACCGAAAGTTCTAAATGACGAGAATTAAAAATCAAAATAAAACCGTAAAATAGCTTCATTTGTATATGTTTGGAATCATTCATGGTTATGAAACGAATCAATCAGACGAATCAATTGGGTGACCGGTTACGAGTGACCTCAGTTTGGCGCTCCCGAAGTTGTTAGAGCCACGCTCTACCACTGTAAAAATAATTGGAATCATTCCTGATTATGAAACGAATCAATTCGGTGACCGGTGTTCGGTGACGAGTGACCGCAGTTTAGCACTTCCGAAGCTTTTACGTGGCTCTTACAACAGTATAAAAAATAAGTTTCCACAAGCTTAGGCGTTCGGACTGACCGGTGCAGGCGTGGGTGTTGCAGGCGCGCAGCATGTCCGCCGCGCCGCTGCAGGGCGGGCGCCTGCAGCGTCGCGAGCGCTTCTGCTGCCCGCCGCCGCAGGCCGCGGAGCAGGCGCCCCACGCGCCCCACGCCTCCCAGCCCGCCTCCTCCTCCTCCGGCGGCGTGCTGCTGCAGACGCCGCGCGCGCTGCAGTAGCGCTCCTCCTCGCGCGCGAGCGACAGCTGCGAATTAACGCAGTTGCAGTTACGCCACCACCAGTGTCGAACGAGAGGCAGCCCTGTGATCACTGTGCAGTGAAAACCCGAGGCACAACCCTGCACGGTTTGCTAGTCACGCAGTGTCATTACAGACGTCCAGCTCAACGCAGTGGATTTTATCTTTGAGATTAAAAGTTAGTGCAAGAGTATTGTAGTGGACTGTATTTAATTTTGAATCTTCTTCCAGTAAAAGATCCGTTGGCCGCTTGAGTCGCTAACAAGTATATATAAAATTTTGCTCATGCTTTTTTTTATGTGAAAAGTTTCCAAACGAGCAGACGGTTCACCTGATGTTAAGTGAATACCACCGCCCGAGCTCTGCTACACCCGAGGATTACAGATGCGTTGATAACCTTTTGAAAAATGGGCTCCGGCTACCCTACTCACCAGACGAAACGCTAAAGTATTTTTCATACTTCCACTTTACGCTGGTCTTCTGTGTGGTCGTGGTACCTACTTACCCGGACGGGCCTGCCCATTCGTGCAACAGTCGAGGCTGCTACGTGGCCCTACCACCGCATGTTTGTTTAATACTACATATCTTTTGAAATTAGCTTTGCAAGACTTGCATATTTCTTTTTGTTTATTCATTAATTTCAAGAAACTGTTTAACGCTTACCTTTAACTGTTCCGGCGAAGGGGCTTTGCATGAAAATTTGAAACGTTTCTCAGCGTAACTGCCATCCGAAGTATTGCCTGTAATTAAACATAATTATGCAAATAAGACTTTGTATGAATAATCTTAAATTTTAAGTCCAATCTCAACACATTTTTGAATTCATTCATTTGATGAATACAGTTATTGCGTACTAGATTGTTTCCAATTTTCTTTTGAGAAGTAAGCTAAAGCGTAAGATTGCACGGAGTAGAACTAAACACTCACTGGGTATCTGCACCCACGGCGACCAAGCGGTGGCCTTCCGGACCTCGCAGGGCCTGAGATCGCAGGGCTGCCTCTCGGTACGCGCCCCTTCACAATCGGCGCCGCCGTGGCGAGGAGCCGGCTCGGTGCACGAGCGCCGCCTCTCCCTCGTACCAGAGTTGGCGCCGCAGCCCGTTCCGGTACAGGCGGACCAAGCGCCCCACTGGCTCCAGCCCCCGTCTACCGGCGCTAAGGCGGGATCTGTGAAGATAATTGATGTTTACGAATGAGTAATAAATATGTGAGCTCAGGCCCGAGCTTTAACTTATTATACTCGTGCTACAGGAGTTTAACTCCCGGTGCCGACGCAATCATAGACCTTATCTGTATAGAGGCTATAAGAGAATAGCCCACCACGCGTTTGGTTGTGCTTTCTTTGGTTACGACTTCTCTTATGATATAAGGATCTGATTTTAAGGATGCTGCGATTTCGTAGTTAATTCTGCTTTTACTAAATCTGAGATAGCGTTTTATAAGGTGTCCGATGGTTTGAGATGAAGCGCTGTCAGGGACAGATTTCGGTATTATTTATGGTGCCCGTGGTAGAAACAGGGGATAGTCGTTCCGAGTAGTTTCTGCGAGTGCACGGACGCTACGGCGCTAGAGACGGGCGCTCCTCACCTGAGCAGGGCGGCAAGTTGGAGCAGAAGACGTCTTGCGAGTCGAGTTCATGTCTTTCTCAATACTCATAGAGCAAGAGGAAAGGGGGCATATCTCCTAAATAGGATTACTGCGAATCGGCGCCAAGCTGCAGTGTATCAGGAAAGGATTTATGCGAGTGCAGCGACAGAGACGGATTAGTGCAATAAATGATTTGTTTCGTTCTTTCTTTCAGATATCTCCAAAACAGGGTTGCTGCGAATCGACGCGAAGCCAAATAGAAAGCTGCCCTCACCGGGGCACGGCGGCAGGTTGGAACAGAAGACGTCCTGCGAGTCGAGTTCATGCCTTTCTGAATACTCATATAGCGAAAGGAGAAGCGAGATATCTGTAAAATAGAGTTACTGCGAATCGAGGCCAATCTGCAGTGTATCAGGAAGGGGTTTCTGCGAGTGCAAGGACGCTGCAGCGACAGGAACGGGCTCCCTCACCGGGGCACGGCGGCAGGTTGGAGCAGAAGACGTCTTGCGAGTCGAGCCTTTCTCAATACTCATAGAGCAAGAGGAAATATCCCCCTATATCAGAAGAGGAGGTATCCCCCGTATACCTCCTAAATAGGATTACTGCGAATCGACGCCAAGCTGCAGTGTATCAGGAAAGGATTTCTGCGAGTGCACAGACGCTGCGGGAGACGGGACTCCATCACCGGGGCACGGCGGCAGGTTGGAGCAGTAGAATGCGGGTCGAGGACATGCCATTCTAAATAATCGTTTAGAAAGACGAGAAGGGAGATACGATTAGTGCAATTAATGTTTTCTTTCTTTGTTTCTAATCGACGCCAAGCCTTAGGGAGCTGCCCTCACCGGGGCACGGCGGCAGGTTGGAGCAGTAGAGGTCCTGCGAGTCGACGCCGACGCAGACGCGGCCGCCGTGGCGCGGCTCGGGCGCGGAGCACGCGCGCCGGCGCGACTTCACCGCGATGCCGCAGCTCGCGCTGCACTCCGACCAGCCGGCCCACGCGGACCAGCCGCCGTGCGTCGTGCAGTTCGCCACCGATATGCTCGTGCCTGCAAGCCGTGAAACTATAATGAATGAATGAACGAATGAATGAATGTACTTTATTGCACACCATAAATAAAACAAACCAAAATTAAAAACTTATTTACTTAAACACTTTTTAACCGTGCTGAGAATATCGACATTTTTAACGATTCCCATGATGTTTATAAAAAGAAAGTACTGGAGTCATTTCATTAGTATATATTATAGTATAGTATTCTTTAAAGTGGATTTATTTTTGATTCTTTTTTGTTAGTCTATTCTTTGTATTTAATTTTTTATGAATTAGTTTTTTTTTTTTTTGTTTATTAAACTTTGTCACAATATTGTAAATGTTGTACACACCTGTTATAGGTGTACATATTAGGTCCAAAGTTTTTTTATTTTTTCCTTTTTTGTAAGTTGTGTAAATAATGTATACTGTTGGTGTCTTAAATAAAATTAAAAAAAAAAAAGAAAACTTAATGTAGAAGTGATGGGTAGAGTGGGCGGCGTTATTACTAAGAGTAATTTCTTCCAGTTTATGTTATGTGATCCAATATATGTTCCGTATAATGTTATGTGACTCTTTTGTGACGCAGTGTTCGGTGAACGAAACTGTTTTGTCGCTTTTATTTTTATGTTTATAAGTAATACAAAGGAAACCGACATAGCTCTGAGGCTTAGTAAGCTGAAGTGGCAATGGGCCGGCGGTATAGCTCGAAAAACCGATAACCGATGGAGAAGAAAGGTTCTAGTGTGGCAGCCACGTCTTGGCCATCGTAGTGTAATAACTAGATCGAGTCAACCCGTGCAAGTCAGTGGTCTCACAGGCTAAAATGATGATGATTTTTAATTTTAACTCCCAACGATTACAATCATATTTCTCCTTCATTATGATAGCAAAAAGTCCAAACGGAGAGGCACCTTCGCACGGCTGTCCGCCGTTGGAGGGCGGCGGGTTGTCGCAGCGTCGCGTGCGGCACATACACATGTCCGGCTTCTCGTCCGCGTACGCGACCAGCGGCGTGCCGTGCTGCATGCACTGCGCCCACTCCGACCACGACGACCAGCCGCCGTCCACTGCGAACGCTAACAGATTTAGAATAGCCCCTCCACGCACCTTCGTCCAATACCACACCTTCCCTAGGTAACAGTTGTAGAAGACGGTACAATGGACGGTACAACGGTGTGGGCCGGTTGGCACCTCTAAATGACGCAACGTCCGCTGAAAGCACCTTTTTAGCTAAAATAATCGTATGGCTCGTATGGCTAGAAAAGTAAGTATCATTACTTACTTGGCCATACGATCATAGTTATACTTTACCTTTGCTGCTGAGGGTAACCTCTGTCCAGCTAAGGTCTAGCTTAGTCAACTAGGTGGTAGTTTTTAGACGTTGAATAAGAGCTTAAATAAGTTTAATATGCAGCCTCGGCTGTTGCACGAATAGGCAGGCTCGTCCGGGTAAGTACTACGACCTCCCAGAACACCGGCGTAAAGTCGAAGTATAATACTTTCGCGTTTCGTCTGGTGACTGAGGTAGCCGGAGCCCAATTTTCAAAAGGTTGTCAACGCATCTGCAACCCTCGGGTGTAGGAGATGTCCATGGGCGGCGGTATTCACTTAACATCAGGTGAACCGCCTGCTCGTTTGGCATCTTTTCACATAAAAATGCCTATAGTAAATAAAGAAATTTCGACTTTGACCGACTGACTTGAAGCCTATCTGGAGAAGCTGGCACATAACACCGTGTGACTTACCTGGGCCGCGCGCGGACGGGCAGCTGGCGGTGGACTGGGCGAAGTGAGGCGCGTGCGCGTGCTGCGCCGCGCGCACGCACGTGTCGCGCGCCTCGTCCCAGCCGCAGTGCGGGTCCGCCGCGCCCACGCACGCGGCGCGGCTGCGGTGGCGAGCGCACCGCTCCGCGCCCACACGCACCACCGCGCGCTCGCCGCCGATGTACAGCGACATCTGTTGATGGACAAGCGCATGAGCTCGGAGCTCACTTTACGGCCCGGTGCACAACGGCATCTGTAGGTAGACTAGGCGAATGAATTCGGCCTATACTTTAGAGCTCGTTGTAAAGCGACATCTGTTGGTAGACAAGCGCATGAATGCGGAACTGTTACGCTACGGTAGGGCTACACAGCTTCTGTATAATAATAAACCACGTCCTCAGAGTAATCCGGCGTGTAGTGTAAATAATAAACTTTCGAGCGTTTCGCCTAGAGATGGAGGAGCACGCTTTTAAAAACGTGCCAACGGACTGCAAGCGCAAAGTTGCCGCAGATGTCCAAGATAACATAATTTTTTATCCCCTGTGCCTTTGTAAATAAAAAAGGCATTAAATGCAATTCTTAACGCTCCAAGTAAATTACAGAGATAACTTGGAATCATAGGAAAAGGACAAAAAGTTGTTATTAGTTGCCATGGTTGCCACGAAGATGTCGCTTCTAAGTATCGACTCCTAACAATTCCACACCCATCATATTTCCGAAACGCGCCAAAAGAAATTGTAACTTCGAAAACCCATATTCAGTAGTACTTTTACAAAGGGTAACCTCATCGCATTCGATCTTTTACCGTGTCCTTGACGAACTGCATCGTGCGTATATCTATGGAGGCCTTCCCGTCCCTCAGCCTCCAGGTCTCCAGCAGGCAGGCGCCCTCGAAGCGGGGCAGCACGGACAGCTTGAGCACGTCGCCGTCCAGCGTCGCCACGAACAGCACCAGCTGGCTGCCGAGCTTCGCCCTGGCCACGTCGACGGTGACGTGCGTGAACCGCGTCAGGGCCGCCCTGTACACCGGCTCGCCGGACACCGGCTGCACCGGCTCGTGCATCAGCTGGTACCGCTGGAACTCGATGGTCTGGTGGCCCCTGCGTATATAGGTGAAGTTAGTGACGTGCCTTAGGGATGTCGAAAAAATATATAAATATAGATATTTTTTATTTTATATATCGATATTATCAGCCGATATGTTTGGGTCCGATATATCGATACAAAATATTCAATTTTCGATATTGAATATTTTGTATCGATATATCGGACCCAAAATCATATCAAAAACGATATTTTAGGTGTCAAATATTCATTACTTGACATACCTTTTTTTTTTTTGGACAACGGCGACTAAAGAAAAAATAACGGTATATCGATATTTTTACTTCGATGTACCGAATCCAATATTTATATTTTATAAATAGCGATATATTTCTTCCATTTCGAACTCCCTAACATGGTTCAACAGACTCCAAATACGGGGGCGGCCATAGACTAGTTTATATTACTTTTAAAGTGCATTGTGTAACTATTTAGTGCGTATCCTAGTCAAATCAAGCTTGATCTCAATGGACTATGTGCACACAGAGATGGCACTGTTGCGAAAACAATAGAATACAAGCAACTGCTTGTCTTTTTTAACTATAAAGTTGAACAAGCTATAATAAACTCTATTACAAAATAAAAGAGTTTAATATCGATCGTCTTACTAACCTGGAGTCGGTGTTGCATCGGAAGTGCTCCCTGGCCTCTCTGGACGGCGACCGCGGCTGCCATATTGAGGTGGGCGAGTCCTGGACCTTGAAACGACCCTCGAAGGCGGCGTTGATGTCCGACATGTTGTAAATGCACACCGCACTGCCCGCTATGCTATTCCTGTATAAAATAAATAGAACAGACTGTGTACTATTATTGCAAAGCATATTAAGGATAGGTCTGTGTCCGGGCGCTCGCCATTTATTCTAGATAGATAGAATATATCGAGCTAGAGTTCGATCCCCGGTGCCGGCACTAATGAAATGGTTAATTTTAAATGCTGATGATTTATCACGTGCTCAGGGGTGAAGGAAAACGTCGCGAGGAAACCTGCATATTTTCGAAATAATAACAAAAAAAATCTATTTCGGGGATATATGAGGTCCGCCAATTCGCAGTGGGGCCGCGTGGTGGACTATGCCCTGACACCCTCTGTTCAGGGGAGGCCCAGAGCTGTGGGACATGTATAGGCTGTCACTTTCCTTTTTTTTATAATAAGGACAAAACTTCATTGCGACGGAATTACAAATTGGGTTCTTCTCAAATAAAGATACAACGAAACAAAAAACAAAGAGAAAACTTCAAAAGACCTTTCATGGGATAAAGAGAATATGAATGTTCAGAAAATTGTCTTACTACTACTCACTCAATTCACTAGTTTACTAATTAGACAGTTTCTGAATTTGCCAATCTCCTCATTTGCCGGTTTCACTAAGTTGTCAATTTCCCTTTTAAGTAAGTTTCCTGGTTCACAAGTTTCCCTGTTCATGAGTTGGTTTAGATTGTCGGTTTTCCTATTCCGTCATGTCATGTCATATATTAATGTATACCTATGACATTCCTTATTAGGTTTTATTAACAGATTACATAAGTACAGAAAGCTAATTTCAGCGTTTGTTTTCATCACTTACAAGCGTTAACAAAGGGTTGAATGGTGACTTGAAACTTCGTACAGTAACACTTTGTTAGTCTCTTCGCCTCACAATTTCGCTTGACGTAAAAATATATATCGAGGAATTTAACATTTGACATTATATATGTCGTAGTCACAGTTTTAGCCTACGTTTTGTGTGGTATGCACATCTATATATGCTTACTTTGGCGTTGTGAAAGCGGCTACTAGGATCTTTTCCTGGGGCAAGTATTCCACGCTCTGAACTTCGTCATAGTGGAAGGGCATTTCCCCTGGCACGGAACACGTAAGACGCGCCTTCAGGAATGTAGTCCAGTTATCCTTCATCACGCGGTGACCACCAGAGTCGTTCTTGCAAACGCGCGCGATTCGCGAGTAGATAGCCTGAAAAGAATTCGCAAATTAATTGCTATTATAGACTGGCTTGTTGTCTATTTAAACGTAAACATTTCGTTTGGCTTGATATAAATACTTGCCCAAATAAATAACTATACACATGCAATAGATAATTTAATAATTAACTCTTTATTTCTTGCATTATGGTAGTAAGTTCACTTTAGGAAATTATTTTTATCAGTAAGCAAATAAGTCGGCTTGAGTGTTTTAAGTGTTACCTACCGACACTGACAGGAAGCTTAACGGCGTTATAACCCTTTAATTATATTGACCTCTTCCGGTGTCATAGTTACAGTTTTGACCTTATTATAAATTCAAAGGATCGCCTGCTGGTGGCAACGCAGCCGTAATTTCGATAACCTAGTCAACCTCCAACAGATAATATATCATCCAAATGATACTAATCTAAAGTCTAGTTTAGATTAGTATTATTTGGAATCACTGTTAGTATATAAATATCTAGGTTTATTAGAAAATTTTACGGCTATTGAGCACTTTAAAAATTTTCTGCGGCATTTCTTTTAATAGATATCTTCGGCAGCGGATTAAAAGTGAAATATTGTGATTATTTTAAATGAATTTCACACAGTTCCCATAATACAAAGAATATTTTGGTCTAGTGGCACCACGTCTGCCGAAATTGAAATTCCAAAAACTTGGCAATCGTGCCTGCTCTGTATACAAGCCGCGTTCATAGTAAGGGGATGATCATGAGTCAACCTCCCACAAAAATACCGGGCGCTCGCCTTATAATATATCATCCAAATGATCGGGGGTCGTGGGTTCGATCCCCACTATTTGTGTGACCCACAGATAGTTGTTTCTCATCTGGGTGTTTGTCCGCGTGAAATTTATGTATGTAAAACGTCCCTACAACACAGGATAATGTTATCCTAAAGTAAGGGCAATGTTTTTAAAAAAAAAATAAAAAAAAAATATTCTCGAGCAACCTGACTTCAAATCTCAGTGCCGGCACCAATGAAATTGTAAGGAAATCTGCGGGCATTCGAAATAACAATAAAAGAAAATATATATTACCAAAATATGTGAAGTCCGCCAATCCGCACGGTGGAATATGCCCTAAACCTCTGTACTGCAAAGGCCTTAAGCTTAACGATGGGACATATACAGGGTGATTTTTAGACGACGTACGTAGTTTGACATAATGTTAACTGAGCAATCCATAATTGAAACAAAATATTTTTTTTTTTATTTTGACAAGAAATAACCAGAAAAATATCAATTCAAACCCGTTCAAAAAGTAAAATTGTTTATCCGGTTAATAGTGGTCACCCTATTGATAAACCATTTAGTAATTAGGGGGCGTCCATAAATTACGTGAGGTGATTTTTTTTAATTTTCTGTACACTTGGGCAATAGAGATCATAAGGCGTGCTGATGAAGGCATTCAGCGCATACGGACCAAAATAGTATAATTTTTTTTTGTTTCAATCAGAAAAAAAATTGCGTGATATTTGCCGAGACCCCCCCTCCCTCCAACGTAAGATTAGATGAGATTTGACTCGACCCCCTCCCCCCCTTAAACACCTCACGTAATTTATGGACGCCCCCTTATGCGTTCAGCGAACAGTTTAGTGCTCGTGAATAGGTTATTGTATTGAGACGGTAAGGCAGGGTTTTCTAATAGGGTGTACATAATGTTTGAAAAAATTAAAAATAACCTTTGAAAAAAAAATGAGGTCACAAGTACGAACCAGATTCTGATTTAGAATCAAATCCTGCATATGCTATATTATGTCCATTGTCTATAAAATCACCCTGTATAGGCTGTTACTTTAAATCCTTTAATTGAATTCTCGACACTCACCGTCCCACAATTCATGTACTCGACGGCGATCTCCCTTAGCACGAAGTAGACGAAGTGGTCATCCTCGAAGCTGCCGACGAACTGAGGCTCGTTGAGCCAGTTCAGGTCGTACTGGGGCGTTCGCAGCATGACCGTGTCGCGCGGCGCGGCACCTTGGCTCCTGGACCAAAGAAATCTATCCATAATACTAATAACCGTACATGTTGATGTTAAGCAACCCCATGTTAAGTGATTTGCGCCGCCCATGGATATGTACAACACCTGAAGGGTTGCAGATGCGTTGCCAACAAACAAGTGCGGCCCGGTTACCTCTCAGCAGACGAAACGCGAAAGAATAAGACTTCCACTTCACGCTGGAATTCTGTGACGCCACGGTACTTTCCCGGACGAGCATCGACTAACAATAATTAACCCAAAAAATTTACTTGATTGCTCAGTTTCTAAGTTAGTATTTTTTTATGTGAAAAACTGCCAAGCGAGCTGACGGTTCACCTGACGTTAAGTGAATACCGCCGCCCACTGGACATCTACTACACCCGGGGGTTCCAGATGCGTTGACAACCTTTTGAAAATTGGGCTTCGGCTAGCTCACTCACCAGACGAAACGCGAAAGTATTATACTTCCACTTCACGCCGGTCTTCTGTGAGGTCCTGGTACTTACCCGAACGAGCCTTCCCATTCGTGCAACAGCCGAGGCTGCTGTGTGGCCCTACCACCGTTGTACCAGTATACCCAAATAACTGTAATAAACCCGATACCCTCAGCAAATTGATTTGCAATTTATTGTCAGTACCTTATATCTCTTTCAGCTCAACTATTTGGTGACCATCGTGAGGAAACTTGTGCATTTTTAATTTAGTAGTAAAAAAAATATTTCAAAGATATTTTACGTCTGCCAATATACAGGAATTTTGTCGAATACTTTCTCTACAAAGGAAGCCTTTATGACATATATTGGCGGTTACTTTACTATTTAATACAGAGAAGTACATTTGGAACGACTCTGTATTTGTCTTATAAATATAAATTAAAATAATTCAGGAGGCTAGCCACCCAGTTTTTGAAGTGTACACAGCAAAGGAATGGGAAACTATTTTCTGGTGTTTCAGTTTTTCGATCCGCAAATTACTTGTTGTCTAAAGCATTTACAACCTTAGACTACATCATGGCAAAACATTACGTAGGAAGGTGGACCAGAATTTGCTAGTTTTTAATTAATATAATTAAAGGGTCACCCATGTTCTGTGCTAGTTAAGATTTTTTTCTATAGGGGGGCACGCTATGCGTTATGAAATACACACATTGAGAATTCTTTTATTAACGCCCGGTTTCTGAAACACTGATCATCGTAGATGTCAACTAATCGGCTGTCAAATGACTTTTCAAATGTTGTTTGAGTTGTCAAAAGCATTGTTAAACTCTTTGTATTGATCAGAATGATCTTCTCAACAATCAGAATGATCAATTCAAGAATTTAACAATACTTTTGGCAACCCAAATAACATTTGAATAGCCTAATAGGTTTCAGAAACCGGCCGTGAGAATCGTAAATTCGCATACTACGTGATCTGCACCCCGGGTGAAACAGCAAAACTAACGTAAATATTGCGCGCATTGTCATCGAAATTGGAAGTTTTAAATGGAAAATGAATTTATATTTGTTGCGGAGAAACAAAATTGTTATAATTTGATGAGAAAATGGCGCAGAATAATTTATGAATTAATAAAATTTGACTACTAGTCGAAACTTTTAACTTTTCGTCCGATTTTCTGCAGATATATTATTTCATCTTTACATTGCATTACAAACATTACAAAAATATAAATTTATAAACTTGTTGACACATAGTTTTAGTAGAAATTTTCGTCCAGGTCACCGAATGGTTATCTAATTACGTGTCATTATGTATTAATCAATGATTGATATTTTGAAGAGTAACATTGTTTAGTCCAATTCGTAATATTTCATTGAAATAAATTGTCATTAGACAATTTATTTCAATGAAATATTGCGACAAAACAGTCTAATTTCTTAGAAGAAATTTTAAACGAGTTTTCTTTTTTTGGAAAAAACATAAATTTTATTTCACTTATTTCCTTTTAGTCGATAGTGTCTATGTTATAACTTATGTTTTTGAATTTTTGAATCATTACATTTCGTGAATAAATATGTAAGTTACAGAGATATAAATATAGAGATCATCGTAATATAGAGATTAGAATATTCCAGAACTTGCTGCATAAACAGGTCCAGTACCGAGATATGGCCGTGTCGGAGCTCGTGAAGTCTGTGGGTGTGCCGGCGTAGTACTCGCCGCTGCTGGCCAGGATCGCGGTGACGTTGGAGTGGGGGTTGTGGGGGCAATGCACCACGCCGGGCAGCCATTCCGACACTTTGCCTATCTCCTCGATCTGGTCGGGAGCGACGAGGTAAAAATTAGTCAAGGACAGTTAAAAACCACGCAGCAGCATTGGTTGTTAAACAAACAAGCTGTCTCGCCGAGTACCACGGCATATATGTTAATGGACCGGAAAAATTAGGACTGTTTATCCTTTTATGTGTTATTCGGTGAAATATATAGTCGAAGCTTTTACTGTTTTTAGGGTGTTCAGTAGGAACACAATATCCTGTGTTGTGAGGAAGCTTTACATACACAAATTTCATATGGACAAACCCCCAGATCCGGAAAATAATATCTGTGGGTTCATACCAATAGTCGTAACTGTGGGAAACGAACACACGACATCTGGCAAACTTAGCAACTGCACTGAGTGCCCTTCGAAAGATGCTGGTAATGGCGAACTACTTACCCTACCTTCTAGTATATAAAAGGACAAAAAGTAAAAAAAAAAGAGCCAATAATTTTTGCTCCATCCTGAAATATATTACTATAGCACGTAAACGCAGTTCGCATTCTTGGCACCGTCCCACGAAATCTATCTATTGATCGAGGGAGAATTTATATACAATAAAAATTCTATAAGTAATGTTCAGTTGATTGTAATTTGAATTTAAGCTTGGTCCGTTCGATTTTATACCTGAAAAACTAAGCTGTTGAAGCTCTGGGATTACACTTTTTAAAAACCTAATTCAATATTTAAAAATTAAAAAAAAACATAACATAAAAACAACTTAAAAGTATATGAATATTAAAAAATAAATTTAAAATTACGGCAAAGTTATAATAAACTGAAGTGGCAGTAATTAAGGATGAATAATAAATAAGAAGTTAAAAACGACGGCAAAATAGTAAACTGAATACGTGTAGCCCCGGTTTTAACGCACCACTAATGTAAATGTCATGCGTTATCGTTGACGCGCAGCGATTAGATTAACGTCAATAATTGCTAAGTGCACACTATGACGTAGATTGGTCGGTTCTCACCTCTCGCCAACTGCACATGGGGCTGAAGGCGTTCGTGCCACACGCGAACAGCCTGTGCCCGTAAGAGAGCAGCACTTTGACGTAGTTGTGGCAATCCTCTTCGGTCTGGCCCTTTACTTGGCACATCTTCGCCTTCTCCGGCGACGCGGGCCACGCAGACCTCTCTAACGGCTTCAGGCCGCGCAACGATAACCGATATAAGGTGTCCCTGGAACAAAAGGGTGGTATTTGAAAAAAATACAATCGATGGACCGATACAGGGTGTCCCTGGAACAGAAGGATTGAATTTGAATAAAAAAAAAACAATCGATGGCTCCGGTTACAATGAAGTACGGACTTTCGGACTAACGCCTCAGTCCATGAAATAATGAACACGATGCACCCGTTAACACTGTTCAATTAGTGTTTATTTGTTCGATGTTTCTTTGTTGTCCATAATCATTTAACGTTATCAAACGGAGTAAAGTTCTAGGCGCACTTGCTTTTATTCATAATAGCAGGAACTCTCTCAGAATTGAATCTATTTTTCTTATGACAGTGAAGAGTAGCTCAACTGGTGTGATAACGTCGCTACATTGTATAAAGTGTAGATATAATTTATTTCTGCTGAACTTTCACCCAGGATTGTTTGATGCGTCATGCAATATATAATAATAAAGGGAAGAAAGGAAGGTCCTAGGCCAACACGGTGTAGAATCGCTCAGTCTTTCGTTTTCTATATCGGATACTGAACAAAATTTGAACCCAATGACACTCTTCTCTGTTTTTAATATATCGATTTCAAAAATTGGATTAGCATAGTCCCTCGACAATTTGTTCAAAATCTGGATTCTTGTCGACGTAAAATTTATATACGAAGAACGTAAGACGGAAGATCAATGTTTAAAAAAAGTTTTGCCCAGAGGCCAAATCAAAAAGAGGAATTAAAAGATTACAAAATAAAAGTCAAATGCACGTCTAAATTATTGACCTATACTACCTATCAATAAGTCAAACCTATCCAGAAAGGTATTGTAAAAAATCTCTAAACTGTTTTTTTTTATTTAATTATTATTTTTACTTTCACCGCTCCGCACGTGATAAGTCTGCCTTAAAATTACAACTAAGAATTAAAACCCAGCACAGATTTGAACTGGGATTGCTCGAGTACATTGAATTAAAAGTGAGCGCCCGGACACTGAGCTATCGCGTGCTCAGTGCTGAAGGAAAATGACGGGCGTATTTTCGAAATAACAAAAAAAGAATTGTTTCGATATGTGAAGTCTGCCACTTATACCGCATAACCAGGGGGCCTTTGCCCAGTAGTGGGACATGTATAGGCTGTCACTTTAATCTTTTTAGGAATACCCTTTTTTTTATAAAAATAATATTTACATTTTCACAGAAGCCAGGAAACGACCCAACTTTTTAAAGTAGCCAAATTTACCACTAGTTTCGGTAAAATTCATCAAAACAAAAAGAATAATCAAGAAATAATAATCTAAATTTTACATAGATATAGTGTCATGTTGGTTATCAAACCAGCTCTTCATTCAGTATGTTATAGAATCTCATTCAGTGTTTGCAATTGAAGTAAACATGAGTAAAATAAACTGAGATCGCATCATCGTGCAATTCAAATCGTAACCTGTTCACTTCACTCCGTTTCTACTTATTATAATGACTATTACTAAGACATGAGGTGCAAACACGCATTAGAGAGCCTAGGAGCCCTCAGAGCATAGAACTGCCTGACAAGTCGTTAAGTGCAAATCTTTGTCGGTAATTTACGAAGCCTACACCGCCGGCGTCAAGGCTTGCTTCACGCTAGCGTGTCAGTCTCGCCGTATAAGCTTGATTTCATGGTTGAATTGTATTTTTTTTTCTTTACATTTCAATTCAGATTTAAAAATGTTTTGATACAACCTGCATATAATTTTTTTTATATTCATGCGCTACCTCGAGCGTCGCGATGTATTCGGTCGCAAAACGTATGAACAGTCTGCCGTGAAATATTTCATAGATATGGCAAAATCAAATTTTAATTTTAACCATTATACATATATTGTTCAAATATTTTAATATAAAACATTGCATTCCTCCTCCTGAAAGTCGGTTTAAACATGAATTTGTATTACTTGTAGTAATTGTTGTATGGCCACGCAACGGTTTAGACTGTTGCAACGCATTTGCAACGCTACGGGTGTTGCAACGATCGTGGACGTTCCTTGGTGAACCGTCCGCTTGCTTGCAACCTCTCATTTAAAAAAAGATAATAATCTCGATTTTCTTATATAGTTCGTACTTGTGATAATGTGGGTCACAGGTAACCTCTTTTTAACTTATAGATTACTAGCGACCCGCCCCGGCTTCGCACGGGTGAAATGTATTATACAGATAAACCTTCCACTTGAATCACTCAATCTAGTAAAAAAAAAAACGAAAAAGATCTAAGCATACATAGAGACAGACAGACAGTGGGATGACTTTATTTATACTATGTAGTGAAAAGTAAGAGTACTAATCAGAAATTATTAATAATGTAGATCGCTCATTATAATTAATATAAAATTAACTTAAGAAATATTCAATATCTAACAGAAATTAATTCCCAGAACATGGCCTTTGCAGGGTTTTATCAGTCTTAAATACATGGATGTGGTTTTCCGACGCACATCGTTAATGAGTTATATATATAGAAAACTTTTTCGTTTTCCTTGATATTGAAACAGAGCTTCGATTTGGCATGCGCCGTAGAAACTACCAAATTGAAGTATTAAATTCAGGAAAGGAATAGATCAGTGATGGCCTAGTCGCTTGGTGGTTGGACCCAGGCTTTATGTCATGGGTTCAAATCCCGTTGACATCTATTATTTATTTCAGTTCTTCGTATTTCTTATATTCGATAAACATTTTAACGGTGGTAGGGCCACGCAGCACGAATGGGCAGGCTCGGCCGGGTAAGTACCCCAACCTTACTGAAAACCGGGGTAAAGTAGAAGTTTAATACTTTCGCATTTCGTCTGGTGAGTGAGGAAGCCGGAGCCCAATTTCCAAAAAGGTTGTCAACGCATCTGCAAACCCTCGGGTGTAGAAGATGTCCATGGGCGGTGGTATTCACTTAACATCAGGTGAACCGTCTCCTCGTTTGGCAACTTTTCACATAAAAAAAACACTGTCTAATTTTTGTGCCCCGTGTACATGTAACTATTACGTTTGGAATTAAAATAAGTTCCATGAATATCTATTTCTATCCTAATGGGGTTAACAAACGCTACAGGTTAAATTTTTGACGAAAAAACAATTAACATATTACTAAAATTATGTCATTTCGGCCTATTATAATTGTGAATGGGTCAAGATATCGTTACTGCAAATATTTTCGCTTTAACTATTAGATGAAAGCGATAATGCCCACTTTGTAACTTTTCAGTTGAGCGTTTGCATTTGATGTTTGCATATGAGGGGGGGGGGGGGGGGGGGGGGGGGGGGGGCTTTATTGTGCACAGATAACTGTAGAATAGCAACAACTAGGCAACGGCGATTTACAATTCAATTAAGGCATGTCCCTTGAGTTGGCCAATCGGGTTGTTTCCGTGCCAAAGTGAAATGTCGCGTGAAGAGAAATCGGAAGTGCGTAGAAATTGACTGGGACTCGGTTCGATTTGCGTTGCGCTCAGCATAAGCCGTTATATTCCTATTTGCATTATCACTTATGCGTTTGTGATTAAATCTATAAACTTTACGATATTTATTCTAAGCAGCCTTTCACAGTAAAAATCCAAGCCTCAGAAACCACTGAAAAGTTACTATCACCACTGTCAAGCGCTTTTTACGTGTTGGTTATGAAAATATCTAGTAATAATCACGAACGGTGTACGATTTTTATGTGATGTGTGTGTGAAGGTGGCAAGCCAGCAGACGGTTAACCTGTGGTACCCAACTCACAGTATAACGTACACAAAATGTCGGTTAAACAATGCATCTGAATGTTTTTAAACAACTCGTGGCGAATATGTTATTGAAAAATGAACGAGAGCATTGTTCTCTGAAACTCGATGTCATATGTCATTGAATCTAACTCATCGAACAACTCGACTGACGAACTTCGTACTCCACTATTGAACATACGAACACATATGTTAATATATCGAGGATATGCATTATGCAAGAAAATATTTTTATCAATTACCTAGTAGCCATACGAGTATTAAGTTTGCTTAGTTTCTGCATAGTTGGCATTGAATACAAATATGTAAAGAAACATTATTTAAGACATTCACGCACGTCGGTCACTTTTTAAGTACTATTAACAGTATTTATAAACTTAAAGTAACAGGTACTCACTGATTTGATCACGACCGCGACAATTAGAGGCAAATTGCTGACCAACTGCGGCTTTATTCGAGACACTTCAAGTTAAATGAGGCAACCTTTCAACGGTGCCGAGAGCGCTGCGCTACTATGGTCGTTTATCGATATTGCTTCGACTAAGTGAATGCTTATGAAGCGAAATGCCTACATATATAACTTGTAACATTAGTTTACGTCGGAAACGTTACGTTAAGACGATGGATTGGTAATTCAGCGTGTAAATAAAAACGTTTCTATAGTTAAAGTATACTAGATGCTTATATTATCAATTATTACATAAATGACTAGATTGTACGATTCAAAAATAATTTTTGTATGTTAATATTAGTATAAAATTAGAGAATATCATAAAAATATTACACCTTCGTTCTCGTTCTCGTTTAGAGCTTTCCGGTTATCAAACAGTTAAAAACACGTGTGGTCAAAAACAAAATGCCCAAAGTAATCTTTGGGTATTGTTTTTAACCATTCGTATTTGTCAACGAACATACAACATTTAAACCAAAATCTTAGTCGTTTTTGTTTAATTTTAATGAACCTCAACAATTTAAGAGATAGCTCAGTGTCCAGGCGCTCGCATTTGATTCAATACGCTCAAGTTCAAATCCTGGTACCGGTAGCGGCACCAATGAAATGAAAAATGGAATCGTTTTAACGCTTAAAGAAAACTTTTTGAGGAAATCTGCATATTTTCAAAATAATAACAAAAAATATTTCGAGGATATGTGAGCCCGTTAATCCGTGAGGTCGCATGGCGGACCATGCCCTAATACCCTCTATACAAGAGGCCTTTGCCCAGCAGTGGAGCGTATATAGGCTGCTACCACGAAGTCGACACGATTGTAAGACAACAAA